TCAGATTCACCAATTATTTATATTTTGTCACATTTGTATTAATTTATACTGTATGTTGTATATATGTGTGTGTGTATAAATAAATTTTTCAGAACCATTTGAAAGTGAATGGCAGACATTCTGTCCTGGTACCCTTAAATACTACAGTGTATATTTCTTAAGAACAAGGACAGTCTCTTATATAACCATAGTCTCTTTATCAATATCAAGAAATTTAACACTGGAACAATACTATTATTCAGTTCACACTTAATCTCCATGTATTTGGGTATTTTCCAGCTATGTTACCATTATTGATTTCTAGTTTAATTCCACTGGGGTCTGAGAACATGTGTTATATGATTTCTATCCTTTTAAATTTATTAGGGTGTGTTTTATGGCCCAGAATGTGGTCTATCTTGGTGAATGTTCCATGTAGGCTTGAGAAGAATGTGTATTCTGCTGTTGTTGGATGCAGTAGTCCATTGATGCCAATTATATCTAGAAGATTAATAGCGCTGTTGAGTTTAACTATGTCCTGACTGATTTTCTGCCTGCTAAATGTGGCCATTACTGATAGAGGGGTGTGGAAGTCTCCAACTGTAATAGTGGATTCATCTGTTTCTCTTTGCAGTTCTATCAGTTTTGCCACACATATTTTGACTCTGTGTTGTTAGGCACATAAACATTAAGGACCGTTAATGCATTCTTGGAGTACTCATCCTTTTATCATTATGTAATCCCCCTTTTTATCCTTGATAATTTTCCTTGCTCTAAAGTTTCTTTCCTCTGTCTGAAATTAGTATAGCTACTCCAACTTTCTTTTGATTAGTGTTAGCGTGGATTATCTTTCTTCATACGTTTATTTATTCATTCATTCCTTTTATTATTTATTTACTTATTTAGAGATAGGGTCTCACTCTGTTGCCCAGGCTGGAGTGCAGTGGCATGATCATAGCTCCCAGCAACCTCAAACTCCTGGGCTCAAGCGATCCTCCTGCCTCAGCCTCCCGAGTAGCTGGGACTACAGGTGCGTGCCACCATGCCTGGCTAATTTTTCTATTTTTTATAGACACAGGGTCTCACTCTTGCTCAGGCTAGTCTTCCTCTCATCCCTTCTATCATTGCTGTCATTTATTTTACTTATACATAAGCTATAATCATTGAATATATTGTTGTTATTTTAAACAAACTTAACTGTTAGATCAATTAATAAGAAAAATAAAATTTTTTATTTTCACTTATTCCTTCTCTAATGCTCTTCCTTTCTTTATGTAGATCTGAGTTACTGACCTATGTTATTTTCTTTGTCTCTGAAGAACTACTTTTTTTTTTTTTTTTGAGACAGAGTCTCACTGTGTTGCCCAGGCTAGAGTGCCGTGGCGTCAGCCTGGCTCACAGCAACCTCAAACTCCTGGGCTCAAGCGATCCTGCTGTCTCAGCCTCCCGAGTAGCTGGGACCACAGGCACGCTCCACCATGCCCGGCTAATTTTTTCTACATATATTTTTAGCTGTCCAATTAATTTCTTTCCATTTTTTGGTAGAGACGGGGTCTCGCTCTTGCTCAGGCTGGTCTCGAACTCCTGAGCTCAGAACAATCCGCCCGCCTCGGCCTCCCAGAGTGCTAGCATTACAGGCGTGAGCCACCACGCCTGGCCATGAAGAACTTCTTTTAACATTTCTTGCAAGGCAGGTCTACTGGCAACAAACTCCCTCAGTTTTTGTCTGAGAAAGTTTTCAATGACTTTTTTTTTTTAATTGACTTTTGAAGGATAATTTCACAGGATACAGAATTTTAGGTTGGTGGGTTTTTTCTCTCAGCGTTTTGAATATTTCACTCCAGTCTCTTCTGCATGGTTTCTGAGTAGAAGCTGGATGTAATTCTTATCTTTGCTTATGTATAGGTAAGCTGTTCTTTTTTCTCTGGCTTCTTTCAGTAACTTTTTCTTTATTTTGATTTTCTGTAGATTGAATATGCTATGCCTAGGTGTAGTTTGGCTTTTTTGGCATTTATTTGGCTTGGTGTTCTTTTTGCATTTGTGGTTTGTTGTCTGACATTAATTTTGGAAAATTCCCAGTCATTATTACACTAATTCCCTGTTATCTGCAGTTTCACTTTCCATGGTGTCAGTTACCCATGGTCTGAAAATATTAAATGGAAAATTCTAGAGAAAGGAGTAGTGATGCTGGCAATTCAGATGTGCAAAACAGAAGCCATAAAGTGCTTCCTTTAACTGAAAAGGTGAAAGTTCTCAACTTAATGAGGAAAGAAACAGGAAGCTGAGGAAGGAGAGTCGCTTAAGCCCAGAGTTTGAGGTTTCAGTGAGCTATGATGATGCCACTGTACTCCAGCCCAGGCAACAGAGCAAGACCCAGTCTCAATTTAAAAAAATAAATAAATGAAAAGGAAAGAAAAAAATTGTATGCTGAGGTTGCTAAGATCTACGGTAAGAATGAAACTTCTGTCTGTGAAACTGTTAGTTTTGCTGTGAACCTCAAACTGCAAAAGTTACAGCCACAATACTTGATAAGTTAGGATGGAGAAGGCATGAATAGAAACATGTTCCGATTGACCACAATTGGGTTTGGTACTCTCTGAGATTTTAGGTATCCACTGGAAGTCTTGGAATATATCCTCCCTCAGATAAGGGAGAACTAGTGTACTGCAAAAATTTCTTCTATTCCTTTCTCTCTTTTTTCTTCTGGTATTCCCATTATGAATATGTTACACATTTTGTAGTTGTCCAACAGTTTTGGATATTCTGTGGTTTTTTTAGTCTTTTTTCTCTTTGCTTTTAAAAGCTTCTATTGACATATCCTCAAGCTCAGATTCTTTTCTCACCCATGTCCAGTCTACTAATGCAGTGGTTCCCAACCTTTTTGGCACCAGGGACTGGTTTCATGGAAGACAATTTTTCCATGGACCGGGCGGGGTGGGTAGCAGGGGATGGTTTCAGGATGATTCAAGCACACTACATTTATTGTGCAGTCAAACCTCTTTACTAATGATAATCTGTCTGTGCCGCCACTCCCTAGCACTAGCATCACTGCCTCAGCTCCACGTCAGATCATCAAGCATTAGATTCTCGTAAGCAGCATGCAACCTAGATCCCTTGCACATACAGTTTACAGTAGAGTTCAAGCTCCTGTGAGAATCTAATGACACTGCTGATCTGACAGGAGGTGGAGCTTATGTGTGATGTGAGTCATGAAGAGCGCTGTAAGTACAGATGAAGCTTCCCTTGCTGGCCGCCACTCATATCCTGCTGTGTGGCCAGGTTCCTAACAGGGCTATAGATCTGTACCGTTCTCAACCTGAGGGTTGAGGACCGCATCACTAATGAACGCATCAAAGGCATTCTTCATTTTTGTTACAATGTTTTGATCTTTAGCATTTCTTTTTAATTATTTCTTGGAATTTCCATCTCTGCTTACATAACCCATCTGTTCTTGCATGTTGTCTACTTTTTCCATTAGTGAGTGCCCTTAGCATATTAATCATAGTTGTTTTAAATTCCTGGTTTCATAATTCCAACATGCTTGCCATATCTGAGTCTGTTTCTGGTATTTGCTCTGTGTCTTCAAACTGTTTTTTGCCTTTAAGTATGCCTTGTAATTTTTTGTTGAAAATTGGTCATGATATATTGGGTAAAAGGAACTGTGATAAATAGACCTTTAGTGATGTGATGGTAAGGTGTGGGGGATGGGGAAGCATTCTTTTAGTCCTATGGTTATGTCTTAACGTTTTAGTCAGTCTATCCCCACCAATTTTCACATTTGATATTAAAATTCATTAATTGTCCTAATATGCACTATAGAGCTATTTTCTCAGATATAAATAATAAATTTTATTGAGATATAATTCACATACCATAAAATTCACCCTTTTAAAATGTATTAATTCAGTGGGTTTTAGTACATTCACAAATATGTACAACCATCACCACTATCTAATTCCGAAACACCCCATTATCCATCACCCTCTATTCCCTCTTCCTCCTCAACCACTGGCCACCACTAAGCTACTTTCTGTCCCTATGATTTTCCCATTCTGGACATTTCATTATATAAATGGAATAATACAATACCTGGCCTTTTGAGTCTAGCTTATTTCACTTTGCATAATGTTGTTGTATGTATCAGTACTTTCTTCCTTTCTATGGCTGAATAATATCCTATTATATGAAAACATCACATTTTGTTTATATATTCATCAGTTGTTGGACATTTAGGTTGTTCCCATTTTTGGCTATTATGAATAATCCTACTGTGAACATTCGTGTACAGGTTTTTGTGTGGACACATATTTTCATTTCTCTTGGGTACATACCTAGAAATTGAATTGTTGAGTCATATGGTAACTCTATGTTTAACTTTTTAAGGAACTTCCAAACTGTATTCCAAAGCAGATGCACCATTTTTTATTTCCACCAGCAATGTGAGGGTTCTAAGTTCTTCACATCCTCATCAATGCTTATTGCTGTCTAGCTTTTTGATTATAGTCATCCAGTGAGTGTGATATCTGTTAACTTTTAAAATTTTATTGCTAGTGTATATAAATAGATTTTTGTATATTGGTTGTATTTTATATATTGCTGATTTTGTGTACTGGCTACTTTATTCAGACTCTTCCGAGAAATGGCATCATTAGGCAATTTCGTCATTGTTTGAATATCATAAAGTGTACTTACACAAATCTAGATGGCGTATCTTACTACACACCTAGGGCATGTGATATAGGCTATTGCTCCTAGGCTTCAAACCTAACAGCATGTTACTGTTCTGAATACTGAATACTGTAGGCAGTTGTAACACAATGGTAAGTATTTGTGTATCTGAACATACATAGAAAAGGTACAGTAAAATTATGGCATTATAATCCTATGGGAACATCATCGTATATGTACTCCATCATTAACCAAAATGTTGTTATGTGGCACATGACTATATATATAAGCATTGACCTTTCTCTGCCAATAATCAGGAAAATGTGTCTCAGTAAAATTCAGTCTATAATTACCTTGTTCTTCTGTTCTTCCCCAGCCACTTATAAAGCATGTTGTGTTTTGGTCCAGGTTTTGAAAAACATCAAAAGGTAGACAAATAGGCTGAATATAGTCATTATACCTCACTGCTTTTTTTAAATGAAAAAGTGCAATATCATTTACGTAAGATTCCAAAATGAAGTTTGGATGAATAATGATTGCTTTAATTTTAATCTTCTTGCTATGTTCATGGTCCCCATGTCTATTATTAGTTCCAATCACAGCTCTCCACATTAAAGGATCTCTGAAAGAAAATAAATATTTTTGTTTTAAATATGTTTGTTTAACTAAGTAAATATTCTTAATTTCCCATTAGTTTTTTCCCCCATGTTAGATTAATAACAAAAAAAATTAATAGCTTTCATGTGACAAAGTATAAGATAAAAACCCAAATATGATATAGAAAAGAAGAAAAAGATCAATCGGACAGAAAATCCAGAAACAGTAGGGCCAGGCACAGTAGCTCATGCTTATAATCTTAGCACTGTGGGAGGCCAAGGATCTCTTGATGCCAGGAGTTTGAGACCAGCCTGAGAATCATAACGAGACATCATCTCTACATAAAATAGAAAAAATTAGGCCAGGCAAGGTGGCTCACACCTGTACTCCTAGCACTCTTGGGAGGCCAAGGCGGGAAGATCGCTTGAGCTCAGGAGTCCAAGACCAGCCTGAACTACAGTGAGACCCTGTCTCTACCAAAAATAGAAAAATTAGCTAGGCATGGTGGCGGGTGCCTGTAGTCCCAGCTACTCGGCAGGCTGAGGCAGGAGGATCGCTTGAGCCCAGGAATTTAAGGTTCTAATGAGCTATGATAAAAAAGAAAAGAAAAGAAAAAACTAGCTGGATATGGTGGTACACGCCTGTAATCCCAGCTGCTGGAAGGTTGAGGCAGGAGGATTGCTTGAGACCACGAGTTCAAGGTTGCAGTGAGCTATGATGACACCACTGAGCTCTAGCCCAGACAACAGAACAGGACCCTGTCTCAAAAAATAGAAAATCCAGAAACATATTCAAGTACGTGAGAATTTAACATATGATTAAGGTGGCATTTCTTACCAATAGGTAAAAGGATGAATTATTCAATATGTGGTATTGGGACAACTAGCTATTTAAAAAGAGAAATAAAATTAAATCCAGCAATAACACTAAATACCAAAATAAACTCTGAATGGATTCAATATTTAAATGCACAAATCTTTTAATAAATAGTTCTTGTTTTTTTTGTTTTTTTTTTTTTTAGACAGAGTCTCACTGTGTTGCCTGGGCTAGAGTGCCGTGACGTCAGCCTAGCTCACAGCACCCTCAAACTCCTGGGCTCAAGCGATCCTTCTGCCTCAGCCTCCCGAGTAGCTGGGACTACAGGCATGTGCCACCATGCCCGGCTATTTTTTTCTATTTTTAGTAGAGACGGGGTCTCACTCTTGCTCAGGCTGGTCTCAAACTCCTGAGCTCAAACAATCCGCCCGCCTCAGCCTCCCAAAGTGCTAGGTTTACAAGCGTCAGCCACCACACTTGGCCAATAGTTCTTGTTTTTGAGAGATACCCAAAGTCATATGTCCAAGATTTGCTTCAAAATAATTGGAGGGGGGGAATTGGTTAGGGTATAAATGAAATACAGTCAGGATAAGCTAACAACTTGAAGCTGGGTGATGGGTACATGGAAGTTCACTAAAATATTCCCTCTACTTTATACATATTTTTGAAATTTACTAGAATGAAACATTTGGATATTAGCATGAGAAATTTTAAAATTAAACCAGAAAAATTATAGATGAATATATAACATTGACATAAGAAAGGACTTGATAACACATGACACTAAAGGTAAAAACAAGAAGCAACTAATGAATCTTGGCAGACTTAAAAAAAAAAAAGAAAAGAAAAACAAACTAAAACAGGTGAAAAGATCAAAAATTAAAAGCTCAAGAAGCTAATAGTTGTTACAGCTGGAATTGAATCAGGAAGGAGAAATTTCACTTTATACACTGCTGTTTATAGATACTGAGATAACTTTTTACCCTTTAAATTGGCAAAGTATGTGAATGTGTGTGTGTTTGATGACAATACTTAGTGCAAACGAGTTATGAGAAATGGGAAATGAGAAATTCATCCTAAAATTCATATGGAACATCAAGGGACTCCAAATAGTCAAAATAATCTTGAAAAAGAAGAATGAAGTTGGAAGACTCACACTTGCTGATTTCAAAACTGACTACAAAGCCATAGTAATGAAAACAGTGTGGCACTGGCATAAAGACAGGCATCGGTTGAGAAAAGAATCGGGAGGCCAGAAAAATACCCCCTTATATATATGATCAATTGATTTTCAGTGAGGGTGCCAAGACGATCTAAATGGGAAAGGACAGTCTTTTCAACAAATGGTGCTGGGAAAACTGGATAGCTACATGCAAAACAATGACGCTGGACTCTTACCTCACACCATATGCAAAAATTAACTGAAAATGGATCAAAGACCTAAATGTAAGAGCTGAAGCTATAAAACTCTTAGAAGAAAACATAGGGGAAAAGCTTCATGATATTAGATTTGGTAATGATTTCTTAGACATGACACCAAAAGTATAGGTAACAAGAGAAAAAACAGATAAACTAGACTTCATCAAAATCAAAAACTTTTGTGTATCAAAGGACACTATCAAGAGAGTGAAAAGACAACCCACAAAATGGGAGAAAATATTTGCAAATCATATATCTGATGTGGGATTGATATCTAGAATATATAAAGAACTCCTACAACTCAATAACAAAAAAACAAATAGCCCAATTCAAAAATGGACAACGGACTTGAATAGACATTTCTCCAAAGAAGATATACAAGTGGCCCATTAGCATGTGGAAAGATGCTGAACATCACGAGTAATTAGGGAAATGGAACTGAGAGCCACAATGAGCTCCCACTTGACATTCATTAAGATAGCTGTTATCATACTAGTTGTGTAAGTATAAGTAGTGTAAATGATAAAGTAGGGATATGAGACTGATATTCTAGACTTCTAATCAGTAGGAAGGGTTTAGGGACAGAAGAAGCAAATTTAAGATACTACACAGAGAGATTTCATAGGCCTTGGGAACCACTTGGATAGGTGAAATGGGAGAAATCAGATAACTTTCTGGGTAATGGAGGTGTTGGTGATGCTATTAACTGAGAGAATATAGAAGGAATAGGATTAGAGAAAAGATAAAAAAATTCGGTTTTGGACTTGTTTAGAATGTGACTCCAACACATATGCATAGTAGAGAGCTGGAAATAAGACTCATCAGGAGAGACTTAGGAGTTGCCAGCACGTGGTGATTGCTGAAACAGGTAGATGAGATATCTCTAGGAAAGAGTACAGAATGATAAGGCAAGAAGATAGAGGGAAGAATTCTAGAAAATGCTGCCATTTTTTTTTAATTGGTATAGATTTAGGGGGTACAAGTGCAGTTTTATTATATGGATATATTGCATAGTGGTGAAGAAAACACTGCAATTTGAAAGATGACAAAGATTCATCGAGGATGAAAGAGAAAAAAAGTAGAGAGGTGTTTTAGAAATCAAGAAAAGAGAATTTCAAGGAGAGGATGTGGTCAACATTGTCAAATGCTGTAGAGATCAAATAAGATGGGAACTGAGAAGAAATCGCATTTGGCCACAAAAATCAGATTGCAATTGGATTTTATGGGCCAATGCAGATGAAACAGGAGTCTCTTTTTCAAAGAGTTAACAGTGAAGGCCAAATTCGTCCTGTCTCTTGCTTTTATACAGCCCATAAACAAAGCATGTTTTTTTACATTTTTAAATGGTTGGACAAAACAAAATATTTTGTGACAGGTGAAAATTGTAGGAAATTCAAGTTTCAGTATTCATAAAGGTTGATTGGACTACAGCTACACTTATTCAATTATATACTGTCTATGGCTGCTTTCATGTTAAGTAATTGTGACAGAGACCATATGACCTGGAAAGCCTAAAATATTTACTATCCTTACAGAAAAAGTTCGCGAATCTCTGAATTAAAGAATTCATTTCAACAAATACAGTGCACTATGTTTAAGGCATTATGGTTCCTTGCAAACATGACAACTGAAAATGGCTGAAGTTAAATGGTCCTCTACCACTTCAAAATATCCCCTAAGAGAATAAAACTGTTGTGTTCTGAATACATACCTATTGTCTTTAGTGCAGTGGGCAGCTGTGAGGACCCACTTGTCTCTCACTAGGCTTCCCCCACATACATGAGCAAGCAAACCGCCATACTTAATCTGCAGGCTAACTAGCCATGGCCACGCGCCAGCTTGAGCTTCTGTGCCCCCTATAATCCGAGGCCCTTTTAACACATCCCTAAGCGGTGCTGTTCCACAATCTAAAAATAAAAATGATAAGTTATTTAGACTGAGCATCTATATTGTGTTACCTCTTAATCTGAACACATTAATATAATTCTCTAAATTCCTATTTAAAAAACTGATAAGCTGGATGCCTGAGGTATGCCCATATTTTGAAAGAATCTTAAAGGAGAGTTAAAATAAACGTACCACAAGTGATTACTTACAGACAGACATGAAATCAACACAATTCATTACTTTTAAAAACTCTATTCCCCAAAAGTATAAAAATGGGATAAGTTTCTCTGGCCAGGTATCATGTTCTTCTCTATGTGAAATAGTGATTCGAGAGCCTGGGCCTGGTGAGTCCAGAGCTACAAGGTCTAAATCTTGTCACTTAACTTGTTGGGTTAATTTTTGTCAACTGTAGTATGAAAAGGTCACGTAATAGCCCTTTCAACTCTGAATCCCAATGAATCATTTCAGAAAATGGGAATGATAAACCCCAGCATGTTTTGAGGGGCAAATAGAGATGCCCTATACAAACCTATGTCATTTTTTCTGTTACTGCTACTATCATCATTATGATGGGTCTAGAAACTGCTTAGGTCTGTAAAATTTTGGTTAAAGGTAGTTGGGACAAGAAAAAGAGGGACCCAAATTCAAACACTATAGTAGCGGGAAAAGGCAAGGGAGGCCGCCCAGACAGGAGCGAGCAGGTACTGCCCTTTGCGTCTGGCCCTTTCTCCTCCTCTCGCCCAAGCCACCCACTCGTGGCCTTAGTGCCCTCGGGCCCACTGGCCTGTTCCCGCCCGGGGCCGAGCCTGTTCCTGCTGGAGAGCGAGTTGTGTTCAGAGAAGAGGTGAGCGCTGCCCACGAGCAGCAGCGCGGCGCCCAGGAGCCCCGGCCGCATCTTGGAGCCCCGGGTGGGCAAGATGGCGGCAGGCGGCCTCCACCGGCCGCGCTGGCGCGAGGCCCGCGGGCCCAGGGACCAGGCAGCAGGGCGGGCCTGTGGGCGACGGGCCTGTGTGCGGGCCGAGCTTCCCGGAGGAGTCAGGCCTTCCGGTGGTACTGGACAAAAGTCAAGTGTCCTGCCCTCAGCCAGGCTCTGGGGATTATTAATCGACAAGACTTTCCTGGGTCCTGTCTACACACGTAAACGGCATGGTGGGACTCTTGGGGTGGGAGGGAGAGCTGGAGCCACTCTCTGAGGCTTCCAGAAATAAGAGCATCTAAACTGTGGACCATACGCTAGGGCCTGAGGCAATGCAGGTGCAGAGGTTGGAATTTGTGACAGCATGGCCATTGGAGGAACCCAGTCTCTGTGATGCAGATTAATCTCATTATTAGAAAGCTTTGAAGTGGTTTGCCTTGATCTGATCAACTCAGGGTAAGCTTCGATGAAATCAAATTTAAGGGCCTGCACCATTAAGGACAAAGCCTGACTGATGGTAATCGCAACCCCCACCCCGCCCTGACTGCAAACACACATACACACACACACACACACACACACACTTACTTCGGTCCTAGCCTGAGAGGTGCATTATTCCTTGCCCCTCTGAGTACCCCTGAGATAGCTCCTGACATTCCAAACACTGGGGAGGGGGACACAGATAAGTGGCCCTGGTTAATCCATTGAACAGGTACATATTACCCTCATGCTGTATACCACACACTTAAGTAAGTATCACATCATGGGCAGTATGTTAAGACCTGGCTCTTTGACCTAGAGATCTTTGTAACTTGGCTAGCAGAGAAAACTGGTACTGATTCACTTGCGGAACAACTAAAGAAATAAACTGTGACACACCCAAGGCCCAAAGTTCAGATTGGTGTGGGCTGTGGCTGTCAGGAAAGTCTCCCTGCAGGAGGTGAATGTGAACTTCACCCAGTTAGATGGAGCGGGAAGAGCAAGAGGAGGGGGTAGTGAAGACAGGCTAGGCTGAAGGTAGAGCGTAAGCAAGGTCACGGGTAGGTATCCATGCACGGCCGTGAACAACTTGACTGCAGGTAGCCGGGAAGACCAGTCTGACGTGTACTGTACATGGAAGAAAATATGTCCTAACAGCCGTTGGGGCTTGCTGTGGACAGACTGAGAATATACATATATGTAATAATGCAGTAAGTGTGTGTATAATTTTATTATTATTATTTTGATTGTTTTCTGTCATCTTAGACTAAAGAGAGAAGCCGTGCCTTAAAATTTAAAATTTTTGATTGGGTTATATTTTAAAGAACCACAAAGTTAAAAGATTCTTCTTGGTTTTATATCAGAAAAGGTCCAGGATCAAAGTGTATGGCCCTTCTTCCCTTTAGCTGAGCTGTTTGATACAGTTTTTAGATATGCAGTAGTAGGCCTAGAGCATGCATTATAGCTGTAGGTAGGACACCAATTGCTTAGCATAAGGAAGAGAAATTTGTCAGTGTGTAAAGGAAGCTGGGGAGGAGGGAGGAAAGAAACAGGTAGCCCAACAATGTGGCAGAAAACCAGGCCTGAGCCAAAAAGATAACCTGTGAGTTTCACTGTGATGGGTGACAAAGATTCTCTGCTTGAGCAAACTTTAGTCAGGTTCCTGCACCTTCTCCCAGGCCTATCTGTGCACTTCCTTGTAAAATCCAGTTTTAGCAAGAACCCTGCTGAGTCAGTTTAGAAGGAACTCCCACCTTTAGTATCTGCTCAGGTTCCTCACTCCACCCACCCCAGGTGAAGTCTGATCAGCCTGGCCTGTCAAGCCAGAATCCTGTTAACTCCTGAGGGTATCTCTTAGTAATTTTCCTACCCTGCTCCCTGGTTATAAATTCCCACTTGCTCCTGCCGTGTTTGGAGTTGAGCCCAGTCTCTTTCCCCACTGCAAAATCTTAACGCCATGGTTCCTATATTTATCTTGATGGTCCTGAATAAAGTCTGCCTTACCGTGTTTGACAAGTATCACTGAATAATTTTTCTTTAACATAAGCCAGAGTTTTAAAGAAGAATGTCTAATGTTTGGTTTTAAATTGCTTTATTACTCCTATCTAGTGCTGTGCTGAACTTTGCCTTTGTTGACCCCACACCTTCAGTAACGAGGGAACAGTGTGGGCTGCAGTAGTCTGGGAAGTTGGTCATAGGGTGTAGAATTAAAGAAGGGTTCAATAAAAGGACAGCTGCCTTGCTCATATCATCCTTCAGAGGCTGACATGATTGCCAGTATTAAATAAAAGGAGCGTTGGGGGTTTATAAGAGGCAACACCTGGGAAAGGGAGCAGAGGCCTAGGGCTGAGCTGAACTCAATGGGTGGTAAGTAGGATATATTGGAGAAACAAGTGGCAACATAAACTGACTGCTAGGGGCTGACAACAAACAAATTCCCTGTTCCCCAAATGTTTTAGTGGAAAGTGATATTGAGAAGGGGATAAACAGTTGGGGGGCGGGGTGTGTGTTTCTGTGCATGTGGGAGGTGATTAGACTGTGTGTAACTTTCTAAGAGCAAGATGATGGGTCTCGCTATGACAGATAATAGGGGTTCAAGAGACTCATAAAACAAATGTGTGCAGCCAAGTCATGAAATGGCAGTGAAAAAGGTAGCAGACCACTAGCTGCAGAGGTCCTCTGCCTAGATTTCCTCTGCCTTTTCCAGGTTTTCACTCTTTTCTCTTGCGTTGTCATTTCTTCTCTGTGTGGGATCCCTCCCATCAGCAAACACCCTCCAGTGTGGTAAGCAGCTTCCAAAATGGCCTCCAATACCTGTCTCCTGGTATTCACACCCTGGTGTGGTCCCCTCCTTTTTAGTGTTGGCTGGATTTAGTGACTTCTAGCAAATGGAAAGTTGCAGAAGTGATAGGCTACCGTTTCCAAGGTTAGGTTATAAGAAGATTGTGACTTCTGTCTTGAGTCTCTCTGCAGCCCTGTAGCTCTGGGGTAAGCGGGCTGCCGTGCTGTGAGCTGCCCTGTTGCCCTGTGGAGAGGCCTCGGTAGCAGCTAAGGAGGAACGGAAGTCCTCAATTAAACAGTCATGATGAACTGAATTGGGCAACACCACATGAGTGAGCCTAGAAACACATCTTCCCCTGGCAAACCTTCAGATGAGACCACAGTTCTGGCTGACACCCTAACTGCAACCTTAAGACAGAGGCACCTAACTAAGCTACGCTCAAGATTCCCGACCCACAGAAATTGTGAAATTGTTGTTTTAAGCTGCATAGTTTGGGGATAATTTGTTATCCAGCCGCAGGTAATACATCTGGTCTCTCCCACCTTTGAAAAATCTTCAACTGCCTCCATATCCCTCTATAGCAAAATTTCACCTAAAAAGTTGTTTATGGTTTCTACTTTCCATTTCTTCACCTTTTATTCCCTTGGTTTTTTTGTTGTTGATATTTTGTTTTTTTAATTTTGTTGGGTTGTTTGTTTTTAAGAACAGGAGCAGGACTTTCTCTTCTCAGAGAAAGAGACCTTGTTGTGAAGAGAATCTCTCTTTACTTACTCCATCCCATTAAACATTTTTAGATATAATTAACTGAGTCTCCAAACAAAATATCTTCTTACCTCACCTTTCCTAGTGAAAGCTTAGGAGCTGTGGTTCCAGAGGCTGAGGGCGTTAGTGCCAGGGCCTGGGACCTGGGGTTGGCAGAGGGTGTGTACTGGGGCACGACTGTCTGGGTCTGGAGTAGGCGGAGTTTTATCCCCTCAGTTGTCCCCTCAGCCACTTGGAGCATGTCTGAGGGCTAAAAATTTTTTTAATATTTAAAAAAATATTTTATTAATTTTATTATGTACAGTTAAAGTAATAATAATACATCCATGTATCCACCACCCCATTCACTATTTTGCTTTATTAAATATTTAATACATATAAAAGGATATTTATAAAATACACGTACACTTTAAAGAATAACAGTATGAGAATGTCCGTTTAAGAAAAAGAGCATTATCGTTGCGTTTGAAATCCTCTGTGTATCCCTCCCTCATTCTCTCTCTTATTTTCCCTCAGAAGTAACCAATATTGTGGATTTTATATTTACTACTTCATTGATTCTCTCTATAAACCTGGTTATGTAGTATGGTAGCCACTAGCCACCTATGACAATTTAAGTTTAAATTTAAATTAAATTTAAATCAGTTCCTCTGTCACATTAGCCATATTGTAAGTGCTCAATAGCCACATGTCTCTTGTTAGTATACTGGATAGCGTATAGAATATTTCCATCATTGCGGAGAGTTCTATTGGACAGTGCTGCTCTAAACAATATATTTTTTAGTTTTGCATGTTTTTGAACTGTATTAAGGTTCTCCAGAGAAACAGAACCAATAGGAAATATAGATGGATGGGTGGATTATGGGAATTGGCTTATGCAGTTAGGGAGGCTGAGAAGTCTCACAGTCTACCATTTGCAAGCTGGAGAACCAGGAAAGCTGGTGGTGTAATTCATTCTGAGTCTGAAGGCCTGAGAACCAGGAACACCGATGTCAGAGGACAGGAGAAGATGAATGTCCCAACTCAAGAAAAAGAATTTGCTCTTCTTCTACCTTTTTGTTCTAGTAGAGCCCTCAACAGATTGGATGATGTGCACAGACAATGGTGAGGATAGATCTAATTTGTTCAGTCTGATTTAAATGCCAATCTCCTAAAGAATCACCTCATAGACACTCCCAGAAATAGCGTTTACCAGCTGTCTGGACATCCCTTGGTCCAGTCAAGCTGACACATAAAATTAACCATCATATGAGCTTTATATAAATTGAATTATACAATAAATTTTCTTTTGCAGCTAGTTTTTTTTTTCGTTTAGTATTAGGTTCTTGACATTCATTTCTGTGGTTATCTCTAACTACAATTCATTTATTTCTACCATATACATGGTGTGAATATGCTACAGGGTATTTGTCTACTTTGGAATCTAGAATCTATTATTGATGGACATTTGGATTTT